GATCTGATTTTCTCTCTCTGGTCGCTGAAAGTGTTTGAATGATGAACACTATGCCCTAAACCTAGTTCGAGTCCTATGGTATGAAAGTGTTGAATTCTGTGAAAAGTCCTAGCCCAAGAATTAGGTGGGCTCTACAACGGCCCAAAGTTGAAAAAGTATAACCAAAGCATTTCGTATCCCCCGGTACACATTTGTAAGTCCAACTAAAGTGGGTTGATATTATACTTGATTTGGTGTTAACTCCAAAATTAAGGATCTTGATCTTATTCTGAGGCGGATTCGGAAATTGTCAATAGGGTGGGATCGTGGGCTAATATTTTTTAAATGGGTTAATACTAATAATTACTTTATTTTTTTATTTTTTATTTTTTTATTTTTTTTAGACTGGGCTAAAATTGATTATAGTAAAAAAAATAAAAATAAATAAATAAAATTTAGGATGGGCTCAAGCCCACCCAATCCACCCCCTAGATACGCCCTTGCATTCGGTATACAAACGCTTTTATGGCTCTGAAGTTAGATATGAGCAAAGCTTACGATCGAGTTGAATGGGAATTTTTGCAGGCTATGTTGGAAAAACTAGGGCTGAACTTTCATTGGGTTCGACTAATTATCGCATGTGTTTCCTCGATGTCATTTTCGGTGTTGATAAATGGCAAGTCGGTGGGATTTTTCAAGCATTCTAGAGGGTTGCGTCAACGGGACCCACTCTCACCGTATTTGTTGTGTTGAAGCTCTTTCCCTAGCCTTATAAAGGGCACAGGCCCGAATATTGACTGGAGTTTGAATTTGTAAAAATGTACCATCCATATCGCATCTATTTTTTGCAGATGATTCCATTATTTTTTGTCAAGCTAAAATGGAGGATATTAATCTAGTGAAGAGTATTCTTTAACGCTATGAAAGAGCTTCGGGACAACAAGTGAACTATGCAAAATCTTCAGTGTTCTTCTCTAAAAACACTAGCTTAACGTTAAGGACAATGCTTGTAGTGCTTATGGGAATTGATGAGGAAGGTTTCCAAGCAAGATACTTGGGTCTTCCTGCCATAACAGGAAGATTCAAAAGGGATGTATTTAATTTTATTTTGGAGAAAGTTAAAGATAGATTAGCTGCATGGAAAATAAGTTGTCTTTCTGCAAGAAGGAAAGAGATTTTGGTAAAAGCTGTTCTAAGTGCTCTTCCTACCTATGTTATGACATGTTTCAAACTTATTAAATTTTTGTGTTTGGAGTTGTCAAAAAAGATTAGATTATTCTGGTGGGAAAGCCAAATTCAAAAGGTGTTTGTTGGATGGCATGGGATCTTCTCTGTGAAGTTAAAAACAAAGGAGGGATGGGATTCTGGAATTTTGAAGCCTTTAATGAAGCTTTGCTAGTTAAACATGCGTGGAAGTTCCAGGTGTGTCAGGAAGGCTTTGCTTTTAAATTATTCAAAGCAAAATATTTCCCATCATGCACTCCTGGTCAAATTCTTAATGTCATCGACACTCTTGGCTTATTTGATTTTTCTGCTGAATCTAAAAAAATTCATCAGTAAAGAAATTATCAAGTACATCAATATTGCCAAGGACGGTATCCACCCTATCTAGTTGTTTTAGAAGAATTTCAGGGTTTATTATTTGATGATTTTATTCTTCTCCCAATGGAGGTATATATATTGATTTACAAGTGTGGAAAACAAGTAACCTTACAATCAATTATGCTAATTTATAAGGAGCCTATCAATTACAGAAAAGATTTACAAAGAAAGTTAACTCTAATTAATTAGCCTAATTTACAGCTATCTTAACACTCCCCCTCAAGTTGGTGCATAGATATCGTTCATGCCCAACTTGACAAGAGAGTTGTGAAATGCTTGACTTAACACTGCCTTGGTGAGTACATCTACAAGCTGATCTTCAGATAACTTCTATAAGCTTTGCTTCCAATTTCTCCTTTATAAAATGTATATCCACCTCAACATGTTTAGTCTGAACATGTTGGACTAGATTATGTGCAATGTCACACGCTGCCTTGTTATCAAAATATAACTTCTTTGGACTCACTAGTTTGAAACCTAAGTCTTGCATTAAATTCCTTATCCATAGTAACTCGCATATTCCCTTATCCACAACACTGGATCTGGCTACCACATTTTGTTTTTTACTTCGCCAAGTAACCAGATTCACTTCTACAACAGTGAAATAACCAGAAGTAGAGTGCCTATCATCGAATGACCCAGCCCAATCAGCATCAGTATACCCTTCAATATTCAAATTATCCCCTTTTGTAAACATTATTCCTTTTCCAGGAGACGATTTCAAATACCGCAATATACGAATTACCGCATTCATATGGTCTTCACTTGGAGAATGCATAAACTGATTGACAACACTTAGTGCATAAGCTAAGTCAGGCCTAGTATGTGCAAGATACATCAATTTCCTTACTAACCTCTAATAGCGTTCCTTGCTGGTAGGGACCTGATTCAAATATATACCCAGTCTATTATTTGCTTCCATGGGAGTGTTAATTGACTTACATGCTGACATACCGGTTTCACTTAAAACATCTAAGGCATAGTTTTTTTAGATAGATAAATACCTTTCTTCGACCTGGAAACTTCGATCCCGATGAAATACTTCAATGGGCCAAGATCCTTCATTTCAAACTCGTGGGCCAAGTATTCTTGTAATGCTTTCTTTTCTTTTGGGTCATTTCTAGTCACTACCATATCATCAACATACACAATAAGAGCCGTGATTTTATCCTTATTGTGTTTTAGGAAGAGAATATGATCCGAGTTGTTCTGTCTATATTCAAATGCCTTTATAGAATTCTTGAACCTCCTAAACCACGCTCTAGGAGATTGTTTCAAACCATACAGCAACTTCCCTAGTTTACACACCTGCCACTTTTTTTCAGTTCGCATATTATACCCAAGAGGCAACTCTATAGAGGGAAAAAAAAAACCCACCAGTCACAACACACCACGTGGTGGCAAAAAGCGAACCAAACTGAGATAATTAGAAGCCCACAATCAGTTGGAGGCCCAACAGAAGAAACCATATGCGCGTACCAGTTTAGCCCAATCAAGTGAAGGAAGTTTCACTTAACATAAAAGCTGAATGGAAGGCCCAGTCTTAACAATGCCCAAAATTCCATAACGGTGGCCATAATGGTGTACGTACGATCAGTAGGCATAATTACCCACATTTGGGAATAAAAGCCAAGAAACGGCTCTATGTAAATCTCTGAGAAAAGCTTATAAATAGAGCCTGAATGAGAATGAAAAGGCATTAAATTCCCAATATTGCTACTCTCTCAAAAATCTATTCATTCCCTTCTTGATTGTTCTGTGTATTTTCTATAATTTATCTCTTCAGGTGTTCGGCTGTGAGAAATTGCACCTACACTTTGGCACCGTCTGTGGGAATTCTGATACAAGAAGTCCGTTCTCTATCTCTTATATGCGATATCACTCCGGAATGGCAACAGAACTAGATGCCCTTCAACCGCAGCAATAGGAGACCATGCAGAAAATACATAAGGAAATGCAAGTGCAACTTGACATCCTTCGACAAGCCAATGAAGCCAGTGTTGAGCAAATCAATATGCTAAGGCAAGCTCAGGAAGCCAGCGTGGTGCAAATCAATACTCTGCGCAGGGAAAACTAAAGACTTCAAGGCAACGCTCGGCGGAACGATCTGCCGATCGACCCTTGGCCCGAGCGTCAGAACGAAGATCCCTCTATGGAGCTGGGCACTGATAATCCACCTCACCAGCAGAAGGCTCCATGCCAACAGCTCAATGGAACGCTGGAGGATGCCAACGATGCCACAAGTCAGTCCAGTACCCTAGGGAACTCCAATGTTGGGGGACCTCGAGCACCAAAAGCCCATCCATCAAATGACGCGGACTCGGGTAGAAAAGAAGTGTGGACCAGCAACTGATCAACCACGTTTAGAGAATGACTTTATCACCAAGCTTCAAAAATAAATGGACAAGTGAATCAAAGGGTTGAAAGCCCAAATGCCCGAAGATATGGCAAGAGAATTCACTGCGTCAATAGTAAGACCCCTTTCACAGATGAGATAGAATGGGTTACAAGACCCAAGAAATTTACAATGCCAAAGTTCATCAAATTCAATGGGACTGGAGATCCTCTCCAACACCTGAACCACTATACTCAGGAAATGACATTGGAGGCGCACAACGATCTATTCATGTGCAAAATTTTTCAATCCAGTCTGACGGGGGTGGCTCTAGAGTGGTTTAAGAATCGCCCGTGCAAGTCAATCCCAAACTTCGAGTCACTATGCATTGTATTTTTGGCCAGTATTATGGGAATAAGAAGCAGAAGAAAACCATTGCTAGTCTCTTCACGATTCGACAGATGAAGGGAGAGGGACTACAGACCTTCCTCACCATTTCAACATGGAATCTTCGGGCATTCCAGATTGTAATCAAGACACAGCCATAGAAGCATTCAAGATAGCTATGGTGTAAGGCTCACGTTTCCACTCTTCTCTAGTGAAGAAGACCCCAACTAATATGTCAGAGTTGAATTCGCGGGCGCAAAACTACATTAGACTCGAAGAAAATGAAATAACTAGACAGCAGAGGGTGACCCTGGTTATAGTGGAGAACTGACCAAAGGAACGACCGAGCACCTCGAGGGTCCATCAGGAACCCCCGGCCATCAAGGGACGAGCCCCTGAGAAGAAGTCCCAAACGGCTGAAAGAGCCACACCTCTCAAAGTAACGATGGCCGGACTGTATCAAAAAACTAAGGCAAGAAACATCTTCCAGATCCTACCACCAATCAGACAGCCAATGGAGTAGAAAGACCAAAGTAAGCACTATGCATTCCACAGTGATTTTGGCCACCTAACCAATGATTGCAAGAGCTTCAGAAGACAAGTGGAGGCGTTAATAGCCAAGGGCGAATTAACTGATTACCTGATTACCCCGGGACAACAAAGGCAGCAAAATCAAACCCGGGCAATTCCAAAGGCCATGGTAGAAAACCATCATGTCCGGGTAATCAACACAATTCATGGTCGTCCGGATGAAGACGAGCAATCAGGAAATTCCTACAGAATCCAGCTCAAACAAGTCCATAAGCTACAAAGGATTGGTGAAATCAACACTGTTGATTACAAACCCAATCTTGCACAAGTTTCTTTTCATAAAGGAGATCTCAGAAGGGTACAGCACCCGCACAAAGACCCATTAGTAGTTAGCCTACTAGTGACCAATTGCCTAGTCAGACGTGTATTGATTGATCCCGGCAGTAGTACCAATATCATAACAAAGTGGACATTTGATCAGTTAAAATTGGCCACGAATCAGATTCACCCCACTAGAAGCCCATTGGTGGGATTCGATGGACGAAGAGTGGAACACACAGGTGTAATCACACTGTCAGTCATTGCTACCAAAAGATCTCTGAAAGAGAACTTCGTGATTGTGGATATTCATCCTACGTACAATTTGCTAATGGACCGAGGACGGATTCACCGTATGGAAGGAGTCCCATCAACCCTACACCAAGTCATGAGATGCGTGAGCCCAAACGGTCAGGAGGTCATTGATATCTAGGGAGACCAAGTTACAGCAAATGAGTGCTACCACACAATGATTTTTCCCTCTGATAAGGGCAAGAAATTGCTGAAATAACAATTACCGAGCTCTTCCCCTCCCGAAGAGAGGGAGGAACAGGAAGAAGAGCATCCTACAGAGGAACCCCTAGAAGCCGTGCAGATAGTCGCAGGGGACGAGCACAAGCTGACCTACATAGGGACTCTCCAATCAGTTCAGGAAAAAGAGGAACTGACAGAAATCCTGAGGCGGAATGCCGACATCTTCACTTAGAATCACTAGGACATGCCGGGAATTGACCCACGGACAGCCTGTCATAGCTTGAACGCGGACCCTAGCCACCATCTGGTGAAACAAAAGTAGAGAAGGTTTGCCCCTGAAAGAAATAAAATTATTGTTGAGGAAGTCAATTGACTTTTAAAAGCAGAATTCATCAAAGAAGTCTAGTACTCTCAATGGTTGTCAAACGTGGTGGTTGTCCAGAAAAAGAATGGCAAATAGAGAGTATGCATTCATTTCACCAACTTGAACAAAGCATGCCCGAAAGATTACTTCCCACTCTCTAAGATTGATCAGATGGTAGATGCAACGACCGGGTATGAAAAACTGACTTTTCTTGATGTTTACTCAGGTTATAACCAAATCCTGATGAACCCTTTGGATGAAGAGAAGACTTCTTTCATCATCGAACGTGGGACTTACTGTTACAAAGTGATGCCCTTTGGATTAAAAAATATAGGGGCAACTTATCAAAGACTAATCAACAAAATGTTCGAAGAGCAGATCGGCCGAACGGTCGAAGCTTACATAGACGATATGGTTATAAAAAGCAAAGATAAAAAAGATCATTAGCAACACATACAGGATGTATTTGATACTCTCAGGAAACATAGAATGATGTTAAACCTAGCAAAGTGTTCGTTCAGAGTATCCTCAAGTTAGTTCCTCGGTCACCTGGTGAACAAGAGGGGAATGGAAGCAAGTCCTACTCAGTTGGCAAAACTGCTACAGAGTCAGGAGCCCCGAACCATGAAGGAAGTCTAAATCCTTACTGGGAGAGTAGCAACTCTTAGCTGCTTTATATCCAGATTATCAGACAAATGTAAACCATTCTTCGACGCAATCAAAGCAAGAAAATGAGATATTTTGGGGGTAAAGCAAAGAAAAGCTCTTGTGAAACTCAAGGAGTACATGACAAATCCCTCAATTTTATCTGCCCCAGAGCCCGAAAAGGCATTGTACCTCTACCTAATAGTATCTCAATCAGCGACTGGCTCGGCCCTAGTAAGAGAAGTGGGAAAAAAGCAACACCTGGTCTTCTACTCCAGTAAAGCCATGACTGACGCAGAAAGTCGGTACTTAATGGCAGAAAAAATCATCCTTACTCTATTTCAGGCCAAAAGGAAACTTCGACACTATTTCGAGGCTCATCGGATAGTAGTCCCCATAGTATACCCTATCAAAGCAATTTTCAGTAAACCAAATATTTCAGGTCGGATCACCAAGTGGGCAATCGAGTTGAGTTCCTTTGACATTCGTTACGAATCACGCACTGCCAAAAAAGGGCAATTGATTACAGATTTTCTCTTGGACACTGATCCAGGGGAAGAACAGCAAATCACAGAAAAACCTTGCTGGGAGTTATATGTCGATGGTTCCTCAAGCAAAAACGGAGCCGGAACAGGGCTGGAGATAAGAACTCCCGAGGGGACTAGAATCCAACAGTCAATCCAACTAGAGTTCCTGGTTACAAACAATGAAGCAGAATATGAGGCGCTATTGGCAGGGCTTAGACTGGCCAAAGAACTCCAAATAAAGCACCTCAGAGCCTATAGTGATTCACAGCTCATCACCAAGCAGGTGACAGGAGAGTACACCTCCAGAGAGAACAGAATGAATGCATACCGAGAAAAGGTTGAAAAACTGGTAAAGTATTCTGATACAATCAAGTTTCAGCAAATCCTGAGGGAAGAAAATCTGATAACCGATCGCCTGGCAAACGCAGCATCCATAGTGGACGAATCACTAACCAGGGTTGTCCCTATTGATATCCTAGATACGCCAAGCATCACAAGGGGAATGCAAGTACTGGTCATCCCATGGGAACCAAGCTGGATAGATCCAATACTAGCTTACCTTGAGAGATGAGAACTCTGTAATACCCCTAATTTTAAAAGGATAGCCTTGGTATTTATTTAATTGTTTAATTGCATTTTTATTTTATTTAATTGGTTATTTGTTTGTGTGTTTATTTAATGGTTATTTAAATTAGATTTTGTTTTGCTTTAATTGATTAATTATTTTATTTAAATTGGTTGATTATTTTAGTTAATTATTATTTGTATAATTATTTTAATTTCATGGTTTATTTTAATTGGATTAAGTTAAATGTTTTTATTTATTAAATTAGGTTATAGTTTTAACTGTATAATGGAATTCACTTGTGTAGCCGTCACTGCTTTAAAACGTAGGTTTTGTAATGGGCCGACAAGGATTAGGATTAGGGCTCTGTCTCTATACATACAGGGAATAGGGTTTAGTAAAGTCTCTATATATATAGAACAGTACGTCAACTTAGGGTTTTGAGAATACACAACCCCTATTCACGTACCAAAGATACAGAGATAACAGAGACTTGTGAGAGAATTGAGCGAGAGAAAAAAGAACAAGGCTTAGGAGGAGAACAGGGAGGACCAAGGGAGAGTTGTGAGGGATTAAACCAAAACCATAGGAGGCTTGAAGGTGGTCAATGTTTGCCAGAAATTAGGAAGACGGCGACAAAGTTTTGAGACCAAAACTGCAGGCAAGTTCTTTTCTTTCTCCTTCTCTTTGGCTCGTGTTCTCTACACCTAGATAGTCTCTAAGGTTTAATCAATCAATAAATGGAAGTTACATGTTTAATATATGCTATATGGATGATCTGTTTGTGTTAAAATCCAATCTGTTACAGTTCATGCATGTCTCGTTTCAGTTTTCTGTTCTTTAAGCATGTTGTTTCTGTTGTAACTTTAGTCTCTGTAATTGATTTCAACTACTATAAACAAACCATGGGAATGTTATTAGGGTGTTATAAGACTCTTAAGATGAGTTATAGAAATCAACAGAGTGGTAGGAATGGTCCGGAGACGAAGCAAATGGGCTGAAGCGAAGCAGGTACGGACTGAAGCTCTCACAGGGGGAAAGAGCCGGCTCCCCCATGAGTAGAGCCTGCTCTAGAGGAAGTAGAGCAAGCTCTACCTCATAAAGAGGTGGCTTTAGGCTCACAAGAGCCTGCTCTTCAAGAATTAGAGCAGGCTCCCTTCAATTTATACATTTTGTTATTGTTTTTACGAACTACTTGCTACTGTTTGGGCACTTGGGGTTCTTGAACAATTTTAGGACTTAAATGGGGGTTTCAATAATTAATTTAGGATGTAATCAAGGTCTTGGATTGCATAAAATACCCTCTTTGTATTAATGGAATTAACAATGCGCTATTTAACAACTTGCACGCGGTTAACTGCTGGAAGGAAGTTAAATTGTCTAATTTTAGTTTGACAATTTAAGGTACTATAATATGATTCTAAATTAAATTTTAGATGTATGAGGGAGTTTTTAATTAACAAATTGGACTTGTAGCATAGTTTATGGCTCGGTGCTAAAACAATAAAACAGTATACAAGGATGCAACCTAGCATGCTATTGATGGATAAAAGGAACTGAATTGCTAGAATTAATTTTAGCAATTTCTTGGACAATATTATGATTTTAAAACTTATTTATATGCATGATAGAGTTGTTGATTTATTAAAACTAATCTATTCATGCTCTGTATGCTAGTTGTTGAACTGTTAAACAATACATGGTTTAACTCTTGGATTTAAATTGCTGAACCTTTAAACATCTTTCTGCAATTATTTGGATATTGGTTTTGGACTGTAAATTGCAAAATGATTATATATATGTTGTAATTTACATGGATATGGAGGATTGTATGTACCGGTATGGGACGGTGACATACTAGGGATGGTTTAGCTCAAAACGCCTAAACCTAACCTAATGGATTAAAGGAATAGATTGAAAAATATTGAATTCTAATTGTGACTAAGTCAGATCAACTGCGACTAAGTTGAACGGCTTCCTGGATTAATTGGTTTGTAGTTAAGTCATATCAACTGAATAAGTTAAGTGACTAACTAGTTTGTGTATTGTATGTCAGCTCAATGAACTATTGAATGATATACTCTGTTGGACGGATTTTAAATATATGGTTATGATACTACGAGATGAGCTTGAGTCTCAGACCATTGGTCAGGGTGTGTATATGCAGTGGATGCGTAGCTGGCTATAGTAGTTCGAGGTATAACCTGTTAGGTCTAGGTACTTATGCCCACCCTTGGATGTGTATTCGCATGTTGCCTTCTATTCAGGTTGAGACCCCTACTGTAGTCCAGTGAATGTCCTTAGTGTGGATATATATATATGTATGGACTAGATAGATATTGTGAGGTCTCTACGATGTATCTGCGTATCGGGTCACTGTATAGATTGCAGTTAGATTAGAACTTGCTCGTGGGCCTGACCCACTCTTCTATTATTCTTTTCAGGTGCAAGATGTTTCCAGCCTTAGAGCTTAATCGTGCTTGTCAAGGACAGTCTCACATTCATCTGTTTACGTAGGACTTCTCTCGATGATTCTAGCTTAATTTATTTTCAGTTTTCAGTTCAGTTGGGATTTTATATAGGGGTCCACTAGTTGGATTCCCGAGTTATACTCTTGGAGATTTTGGAAGATTTGAGTATTATTATTATTATCGTTTGGAGGATTTTATATTTCTTTTGGTTTCTTTATTTAAATTCTTAAATTTCTATTCTGTGTTCATTTTAAAATACTATAATTGTTTGATATTCCCTCGGGTTTGGGCCTGGGCCTGATCAACCTATGTCTCAGATTCGAGGGGTATCACAGTTGGTATCAGAGCACTCTAGGTTCAAGTGTCTTTATGATGTTTCGTATTAAGACTTCCGCGTAGCGTTTTCTCTTGATTAGAGCTTAAGTTTAGGATTCGTTGTATTCCTTTACGGTTCATTTAAACACATACTGGCATTTATCTTACTTTGTTTAACAGCATGGTTAACGCTAAAAGAGGACAGATGAACAGTCGACAGAGGAGAGAGGCACATAGGCAACAGGAACGCCTGCGACTTCAGGAAGAGCAACATATGCCAGAGTTTCAGGATGATGGTCAGTTCCATTTAGAGTAGGAGAACGTTTAGCAAACTCGAGATCAGAG